CTCTAAGCCAGAATCGACTGGGACGATGCAGCACTTCGAATGGTATTCGAAGCCGGACTCAAGGACAATGTTAAAGACGGTCTTGTGCACCACGACAAACCCGACACACTTCATAAGCTAGTTGAGCTAGCCACCCGTATCGACAACTGACTGTGGGAACGAGCCCAGCAAAAGGGACGATTCCAACCCACGGTAGCCAACATGAAGAAACAACGAAACCGTACAGACAGGGATGGTGACACCGTCATGACCAGTAAAGTCCAAGACACGAACAAGAAGACCTGAGGAACGAACCAGAACGGTATTTCCAAGGAAGAACGCCAGAAGCGTTACAACAACAAAGCATGTCTCTGATGCGGCGAAGTAGGACACTTCCGCAGAGACTGCCCGAAGAACGAAATTAGCAGGCAGGCAGTAGTCAAGGTCAAGATGATCAGACTATCCACGCCATATCCCAGACACGATCTCACGTTGGAGGACAATCTTAGCGATGTAGACCTCTATGACGAGGCGCGGAGAGCCACCAGCCCAGAATACGTAGTCATCCCCGAGCTAGCCTAACCAAGCATCGAATGGGACGTACCCTAGGCGGAGGACTGGACCGTTAACGGTACGGACGCCCTACAACGATTGGCCTAAGGACAGTGCTGGACATGTGGAGGCATTACACACCAAGCCAACGACTGTATCTCCAAGATGGGGAGGATAGTCGTCACGGGACTAAACGCCACTGAGATTATACAACAAGCACAAAGGGAACAGCCTTACTTTGTGGAACTAGCTAAGGTTTTGGACCAAGAAGCACCACGAAGAAGTTAACGCACGAAGCACAAGGACCTGCATTGGGTCGACTGCAAACACAAAAGATGTAGTCAGCACGAACGTGCAAGAGAAGCATCAAGATACGGAGGGGACGAGTGTTGCCACGACCATCTAGAGCCAGAAGAATGTCGCGTGGAACAATGCCCCGTACACGAGCAAGAAAAGATACAAATCGCTCACAAAGAGCTGTGCTGGGCTAAATGCACAATCAACTGCTCGTTTCATCAGAACCAAAGGAAGGATGCGAGGAAGGTAGACGACTTCTACCACAGCACCCTCATGCCCGGGGAATGCAATGCAAAGGACTGCCGGATGCACGCCGGGCTGGGCCAAGAAAAGACTCAAAGAATTAGGCCACAACCAAGGGAGGTAACGGATAACACCCCAAAGGAGATACCTTACCAGAACATTCATTAGAGATTCTGTTACGAAGACTGATGTAACGTTCACTTCGACGCCAAGTACGGCGCAGGATATTTTCCCCAGGAAAGGAAGAAGTCGCAGAAAGGACGACTCTCTAGGCCAAAAAACTAGGATGCCGCTAGGGACAGGGTTACGCTGGCAAAGGCAGTCCTATAACGGCCCTTAAACAAGTACAACACACCAAGAGCCCATGATTGAAGCTACAAGCAACAGTGGTTGTACACGGAAAACGGATGATCGCGACTATCGACAGCGGCGCGATGCATACCATGATCTCATCAAGGACGATAGAGAAACATCAGATACCACATCGGGTCAAGAAGACGCCGATACCCGTGGTACTCGCCGACGATAAGCCTATGGATTACGGCAACAGCATGATACGGTTCGAGACCGAACCAGTGACGCTGGAATTAGCGGGCACTATAAGCACTATGAGAATCAATATCATGGACCTCGGAGAGGAAGAAATATTGATTGGGTATGATTAGCTACAGGATCATAACCTAGCCATCGATTGGCAAAAGAAAACTATACTCAGCCGAGAGCCTGTGCGCAAGGTTGCTGGAGTACGACAAGAGACACGCCCGACGAATCAGAGCTCACCCAAGGACGGGAGATTCGGTAAGATCTCACCGCATAAGATCGCGAGAATCTATGCGAAGGACCCTCAGCAAGTAGGAGTCATATGGATAAGACAGGTTGCGACTAAGAAGGACGAACCCTTACCACTGAAGATACCAAAGGAATATCAGACGAACGAGTTCAGGGAACTGTTCGAGGAAAACGAGGCAACAGACCTAGCTGAACACCAAGACTGGGATCACGAGATCGTCTTGGAGGAAGGAGCGAAGTTGACGCCAGGAGGAATGTATCCGATAGCGCCCGAGCACGACGCTGAGCTAAAGGAATACCTCCGAAAGAATTTGAAAAAGGGATTTATCTGACCAGGCCATGGCCCGATGGCCTCGCCTATACTGTTTGTAAAGAAAGCCAATGGGAAGTGGCGACTGTGTGTCGACTACAGAAGGCTAAACTCAGTCACTTGGAAGAACCGATATCCCTTACCACTGATAACAGAGCTCATGGATCGACTCCAGGGAGCTAAGTGGTTTACGAAGTTCGACGTCTGGGAAGGATTTTACCGGATCAGAATCAAGGAAGGAGACGAATGGAAAACAGCGTTCAAAACAAAGTATGGACTGTACGAGTACACGGTAATGCCGTTCGGATTGACGAATGCGCCGGCAACCTTTCAGTCAGTCATCAACAACGCTCTCCACGAATACCTTGGAATCTTCGCGACAGCATATCTAGAAGACGTACTGGTGTACTCTAGAGGATCGCTTGAAGAACACGTCGAACATGTCAAGAAGGTCTTACGAAAGCTTAAAGAATACAAGCTATACCTTTAAGCCAAGAAGTGTGAATTCCACACGCAGGAAACAGAATTCCTGGGCTTTATTATCTCAACAGAAGGTGTTAAGATGAATCCAAAGAAAGTCTAAGCGGTACAGGAATGGCCAATACCCAAAACCGTTAAGGATGTGCAGTCCTTCTTAGGATTTGCGAACTTTTACCGAAAGTTCATCAGGAACTACTCCCGGATTACAACACCGCTTACGGAGATCACGAAAAAGGACATAGGGTTTAAATGGACCACGGAATGTCAAGAAGCCTTTGAAGAACTAAAACAGATGTTCCTCGAAGCACCCGTACTAGAGATGTACGATCCAAGACGGGAAACCAGAGTTGAGACCAATGCGTCCGACTATGCACTCGGAGCTGTATTGTCACAGCAGTGCCCAGATGAAAAATGGAGACCAGTGTTCTACCATTCACGGAAGTTCTCTGGAGCAGAGATAAACTACGATGTTCACGATAAGGAACTACTCGGAGTAGTCGACGCCTTTGAACAATGGGAAGTATATTTGTTAGGACTCCCAGACGTGATCGAAGTGTTCTCCGATCACCAGAACTTAACGAGTTTCATGACGACCAAGAAACTCAACCGACGACAAGTTCGATGGGCCGAAACGCTCGCCCAATTCGACTTTAAGATAACACATCGAGCGGGATCGCTCAACGGAGCCGCCGACGCTCTGAGCCGAAGATCCGACCTACGGGAAGAAGGACACAGGGAGCCACACGACGCAGTACTCAGACAGATGCCTGACGGGAGCTTGAGGTACAACAAGCCCGACCTAGTCAAGGTCAGCGTGGTAGCTCACCAAGTCACGACTCTTCAGCAACAATGGCAAGAGAAAGCCACCCAATGGCGACAGGAACCAGAATACCCGCCAGAAGTAACAAACGATGGGAGAGAACTCACGGCTTTGAGGGAAGGAACACGAACATACGTGCCTCCTCATATGAGAACAGAACTCATCAAATCCCTGCACGAGTCCCCGGAATACGGACATGCAGCGATAGACGAAATGGTCAGGAGACTAAAAAAGGACGTTTGAT